TTTTGTGTTTTTGAGTAAAATTTGTCTATAAGTTTGTCTATAAATTTGCCTATAAGTAACTCCGAGTCTTTCACTCGGAATAATCGATTTCTTCATGTTTTTACAATAATTAGGTAAAGATAACCCAGAGAATTAATAATAAAATAAAATTAATTCTACGCAGAAATATTAGTTAAAAGTACGAAAAATTCTGATTTTCAAAGATTTGATTTCGAAACCTTTTCAAAATTTAATTATTTCTAAATATTCCCCCCTAATGTTTTTAATATTTAATTATTATCTAAAATTTGAACTAAAATTCTTTTTTAAATCAATTTTTATTAGTAAATATCACGAGAATTCAATTTTTTAAATACAAAAATAAATAATTTATTCATAATTGAATATTTTTTAGAATTTAATTTTTTCAAAGAATTTTATTAACAACTTTTGAAAATAATTAATTTCTTTTAGGGAATTTAATTAAAATTTTTACTAAAATTTATCATATTAAAGAATTTTATAACAATTTTTGAAAAATAATAATCTTCCTGAGAAGAATTTAAATAATAATTTATGAAAATTATTGAATTCATGCTAAGAATTTTGATTAAATTTTGTTTAAATAATTGAAATTTTGCCAAGAATATTATTAAAATTTCTGACAAAAATTGAAAATAATTGAATTATTGCAACGAATTTTATTATTTTATTGAATAATGAAAGCTTTGAATTTATTTATATCTTAAATTTATTTAAAATCGTTTTAAAAATATTGGAACATCTGCGATGAAAATAATTGAATTCCTAAATGAAATTTTGTCATTTATGAAAATAATTGAATGTTTTCGTATAGAATTGTATCAAAAATATTTTTCAATAATTAAATTATTTGATAAATTTTATGAAAATAGTAAATATTGAAAATCATTAAATTGTGAAAAACTTTTGAAAATAATTGAAATTTTGCAAAGAATTTTATTTAAATTTTTGAAAATAATTGAATTTTTGGCGAAAAAAATTGTGCTATTTTGTAAAGATAATTGAATTCTTGCGAACGATTTTTATTAGAATTTTTAAAAATAATTGAATTTCTTCGAAGAATTTTATTATTTTTGAAAATAATTGAATTCTTGTGATGAATATTGTTATTTTTATGAAAATAATCAAATTTTGTAAAGAAGTTTTTTGAAATTCCTAAAAAAAAAAATTGAATTTTTGTAAAGAATTTTATTATTTATCAAGATAATTGCATTACAACTTTTGAAATAATTAAATAATATTAAAAAAATCATTCTAGTCAGAATTAGAATAAAATTTTGAAGGTTTTTTATTAGAATTCGTGGTAGTTTTATAGCTCATGAGGCAAAGAAAAAAGAAAAAAAAAGACACAAAAAATTTAGAGTTTTCTTATGAATTCTAAATTTAAATCTTTTCCAGTACTTTTAATAAAAATCCCTGACTTTTCCCTGATTTCCCTGACCTGTGGCAACCCTGTAATTTCCAAAAATTGTTCTCTAATCAAAGTTAGTTTTATTAAATTATTTTACTCTTTGAATTAGTAAATTATACTAATAAATTAGTAGAAATTATTATTAAAAAAATAATTAAAAATTAAGAAAAATTAATTGAATTTACTAATTCAAAAGCAAAAAGTCAGTCAGTAATTCAAATTAGTAAATATTTTTACTAATTAAAATTTAGAGAGTAAGCTTAATATTTGGTTTTAATAATATAAAAATTCTTTAAAAAGATAAGTTTTATTTATTATTATCACTTTTATATATTTAATTAATTTTACTGAAAACTAAAAAAATAATAATAATCAATAAAAAAAAATATTTTCTATTATAAATTATATTATTATAATAATATTTATATTTTTTCGTTATTATGCAGTAAAATCCTTAGTCCTGGACATTTACTTGTAGAAAAAAATTTTACAAGAAAAAATTATTGTTTAAAAGTCTAGTAGATATCATATGATAATTATTTAGGTAAACATTTGAAAAACAACTTTAAATCTATAAATATATTGATAATTTTTTTCTGTAAAATCTATCTTATATTTACCTTTGAATTTTTCTCTTTGTATACGTATCATTGGGAATCCCAGCTTGTAGTAACCAAATGGTCATTGAAACGTGCCAGTCTGAAAAAAATAATAACCAAAATAGGTATCAAAACACATCGAAATTTTTGGCACATTTTGAATGTACATTCTCTCTATTATAAATAGAATGTATTTATTAATAGAAAAATGCGATGTTAAATAATATAAAGGTAAATTATGAAAGGTAATTTTATCACTCAGTTGTCTTTAGTATATAATAAAACAATCAAACGATAAGAATCAGTTCGTGTCAAGGCGTGATTCCTTGACTCTGAATGATCGTTATCTTTTTATTTTATTAGAAAAGAACAATTATTAAATTTTAATTATGAAAATTGCGTTACAATGATTTAAAATTTTTTTGCTTATAATTAGATGAATGGTTTTTTGCAATTTTAATTTGTAGAGAAATGGATTTAAAAAAAGGATTTTATTATTTTATTTTAATAATAAAAAATATTTCGTTTTTACGATTTTCTTAAAATTAAAATTTAATATGAAAAGGTAAAGAAATTCTTACAATTAATTTTTTAAAGATAATATTTTTTTAATTAATACAATTGAAAAATTTCTGAATAATAGAAATTTCATAAAAACTTTTAAAAATAATAAAATTTTTGAAAAAAATAAATAAAAATAATAAAATTTTAAAAATATTTTATTTACTTTGTCCGAAGATAATTGAATTTTAAAAAATTATGATAAAACAATTCTAGAAGAATTAGTTTTTAAAAATATTTTAATGTTATATTTCGAAAGTAATTGATATTCTTAAAAGAATTTATTTTAAACAAACTAATTAATTTTTTGATGAAATTTAATTGAAATTTTTGAACATGATTTTTTATCCAAAATGTTAAAAATAATTCTAAAATGTTAAAATTTTTTGTATGTATTTAAATTTTCGGAAATATGAAACTAAAATAAAAATTCATTTTTAAAATTGCATTTAAAAATTTTTCTTTAAAATTTTTTATAATAATTCAATTATTTTCAAAATTTCATTTCGGTATTAAAATAGAACCAAATTACTATTTAGTATCAAAATTGGTACTAAATTACTAAATTTCTTTTTAAAACTAAAATTAAATTAAATTAAATAAATTTTAATTCTTCAAAAGTTGTTTTTAAAAAATTGGAAGAAAATATGTACCTTGAAAAAAATTAATTATTTTCAATTAGATTTTTCAAAATTTCAATTATTCAAAAAGATTTTTTATTATAGATCTTTTTTAATGAAAACAAAAATGGAGAGATTGGGTGGCCTGCTTGTCAAAGAATGTCCCAGATATATTTGAAAAATTTAATTATCAAGAAAAAAGATGCAAAAATAATTTTTGAAAGATTTGATTAGTTAGTTTTCGCACTATAAAAATCGAAATAAGTTGCATTTTATACTAAAAAATGTTGTATTTTGTTGCAATATTTGGAAAAAAGTCGAAAAAGACGCAATTTTTAAAATATTTTTGAATTTTCTATTTTTTTTTAAATTTTTCAAAAAAAATTTTTTGATTTCTTTTTAATGATACACCTTCAATTTTTCTTTTAAAAAATACCTTAAAGTTTTCTCTTTAATATACATTTTTTCAAGATTGTTAAAAAATACAGTTTTTCAAAAAACGACTTTTTTTAAAAAAAATTTAAAAACTCATTTTTTTGAAACTACATAAAAATTTTTCTTTTGAAAATTTTAAATTAATTAGTTTATAATTATTTTTTTCAATTTTAAAATATTTTTTAAACTGTGTTATTTATGTTTATAACACATTTAAATTTCATTTAAATCGGTTAAGTAGTTTCCGAAAAATGATCTTTTTTTCAAAAAAGTAGTTTCTTGAAAAAACTACATTTTTCAAAAATCTGCAAAAAATATATATTAAAGAAGAAACTCTAAGGAATTTTTAAAAACAAAAATTGGAGGTGTAACTTTAATACAAAGTAAAAAAAAATTTTTTGAAAATTTTCAAATTAATTTTTTTTGAATTTTTTTTTATTTTGAAATATTTTTTCTAAATTGTCTTATTTATAGGACTAGAGATGATTCTATCACTCAGAGTGATCGTTAAATTACACTATTTATTGTCTTATTTATGTTTACAACATATATAAATTTCATTTAAATCGGTTAAGTAGTTTCCGAAAAATATGAATTTTTGGGTTGTATTTAAAAAAGAATCGTTTTTTGAAAAAACTATATTTATCAAAAATCTGGAAAGAATATATAAAGAGGAAACTCTAAGGTTTTTTTTTAAATTGAAGGTGTATCATTAAAAAAAATAAAATAAAATTTTTTGAAAATTTGAAAATTAATTTTTTAAAAACATTTTTTGGAAAAAGATTTTGAAAATTTTTTTTAATTGTTTTATCTATATTTATAACATATTTAAATTCCATTCAAATCGGTGGTGTGGAAAGGTTTTATGCAAAAATTGGAAAGGGCATGTGTCAAAAGTATTTAAAATGTTTCAAAGCCACTGAGAATTGTAGAAGTAGCTTAAAGTTGTTTCTGCAAATACACGAAGATAAGTCGCGAAAAACTAAATACTTTCGTGTATTTTGCGTCCGTGCATCACGTTCCTATGTAGAATTTAAGCTTGAAGCCTCTTCTACAACGACGAAGATAAAACCGCGAAAACGTGCAAAAAGAGGTGTGTGCACTTTTGTGCCTACGTGCGCTTCCACATGTACGTGGAATTAAGTGTCTTGTCGTTCTGCTCTAACCTTCAAAAATATGGATTCACGCGCAGAAGAGTAGAATTTTATAGCTTTTTTCCAGATCGAACTGTTGCAAGCATGACGTATCCTAATGTTGTGTTCTATAAAAATTCGAGAGTATCGCGTCTGCGTCAATGTCATTTTGGATCAAAGCTTTATAAAAGTCACAGTTCCTGAATTGTTTTCAATGTCATTTCTATATCTACACAAAACGACGTAACTTCATCGAAAAAAAGAGCAAAGTGTCAATTGTCTGCAATTATCACATGCAAATTAATAAACACGATAGTGTGAAAATTTTTTAACATAATTTTCTATTCATCTAATAGTATTTTACATTCTAAAGTTTTTAATAGTTTCTTATAAAAAGGTGAACAATCAACTTCTATCGCGGTGAATAAAAAGTGACTTTCTTATCAACGCAGGTGATTATAACATTGTTATTATTATTAAGAGTTTGGAGAATTAGCTCAAAAATTATTAGAAAGTTTAAAGATTTTCAAGTTCATTAATCTGATTCTATAAGTGAAATAAGTTGTGCAAAGAAACCAAATTGTGAAAGTGATAAATATATTTTTTATTTAAGATAGTGTTGGGGTTTACAATGATTGACCATTAGATCTGTGGACTAAGAAAGTTGACCCATATAGCACCGAAACTTTCATAAAAATTAAAGATCTACTTGCAAACTTCGAAGTATTTACTTTATCGGAGTGGGACATTTAAATCTTTACACTATTGTCACTAAACTTTGTAAGTAAATACTCCGAAGTTTGCAAGTAAATCTTTAATAAATTTTTCGGTCAGTTTCGGTTGACATAAAGTTGTACACGTTTTCAAATGAAAAAATTTTGTCTACGTGATGTTCTACACGGAAAAAATGGCTACCAGATGTGTTGGTATCCCTAGAAACAAAAGTACATACATTTATACTGCACGTCTGTTTACTATTTTGTGTCTTCGACTATATATGTATTGATTCTTTTTAGTGCAAACACTGTGCGCAAGCACACAATACTTCGAAAAGACACACTTGTCCCCTTGTCTTGGGGATACCATCACATGTTCCAAATTCATGATCATTTTTGTTTTAAATCATAACGCAATTCATTTTTTTGTATTTTTTTTATAAAAACAAAACATTTCCATTAAGTTAATTGAAATTAGGAACCGAAGTTTACAAATCAAAGAAAAAATCCATTAAAGTCGTAAAAGTTAATAAAATTAGACAATTTTTACAGAATATTAAAGAGATTTACTTACTCTAAATCACTATTATTTTTTTTTATTCCTTAAGAATTTAGTAATTTTTGCGGAACCGGAGTATATATACCATTAAAATACGCCGTAAAATACTAGTTATTTTTGTGGTTTTTAATCTAAAAACTCTATTTCTTTTTGCAAATTTTAAATAAATCCACACAAAAATTTAAATAAAAATAATGAAAATCCATGGATATGTAAACTCTGCGTTCCGAATGACAAACTAATGAAGAAAAGTATAATAAAAAAAATATTTTTACACAAGATCAATGAAAATTAGAATACAACAGAAAAAACTTAGTTTTGGAGACAAATTTTCAAACAGTGAAAAAATGAAGAAAAAATGACACTGAGTGAAGAAGAACCCACATTATTTTTAATTTAAAAAATTATGATTCTTTTTATTGATCATTAACAGGTATATAGTATAACGAATACAGAATATACCTTCAAAGTTTATATCTATACTTTTAGGCATAAAAACGATGTATATACTTTATGTACATAGATATAATATGATTATAAGATAAACATAATTTCTAATTTTATTTCCGACGTAAATGTCATGAAATGATTCAATGTAATTTCTAAACAATTGCAATTTTCAGTGGAAATCAGCTGAGGCTTTAGATTACTTCTGCGCGATACATTGCGCAAACTTATCCTATCCATTTTCAAGATCAAGCCGTTATTTACGAATTCGGAACATTTCCCTGCTTCGATTCACATTGATTTCGGATTCTTTCAAAATAACATTTGAGATTTAATACAAAAATATATTTTCAATTAAGTAAAATGGCATCTCGATTGCAAGGCCTTTCTCTCAAAGGACTACAAAAGCATCCATCTGTAAGTACTTTTTCGTTTGTTTCAAAAAAAATTTCTTCCTTTCAGTTTACATTGTACTTTATTAATATCTGTAATTTTCGTGAAAGAAATTTTAGATTAGAATCATTTACTTGAGTACTTAATAAAATATAAGCATTTTGATTATTTTATATTTTAATAGTTAAGTAATTTTTTATTACATATTAGATATATATTTATTATTTCATTGCAGTTAATTCCCCTATTCGTTGTTATGGGTATTGGAAGTTCGGTCGCTATTTTTTGCACTCTAAGAGCCGCTATAACAAATCCGGATATAACGTGGAGCAATAAAAACAATCCAGAATCGTGGAATGAATACAGTGATAAAGGGTATAAGAAGGTATATACATATAGGCATAGTCATCTTATCATTCTATTATTTCTTGTTGATTCTTATCATAAACATTGTTAATGAATTTCGTGTTTCAGTTAGTTACCGTGGATAACAAGGCTCCGTTTAACACAAGACATTCGACAATTTTTGATATAGCCAAAATATAAGCACAAACTTAAAAATATTTAACCTAGAGCTAAAACATCTTGGATGAAATTAAGTTATTTTTAATTCATTATTTTTAAATTAGTGGTCATTAATAAATTACGTAACACTGCTTTATACCTTTCTTCCCCCTGCCGAAAGTATTTATAACACATTTGTTTTGTCGAAATTTTATTCGTTAAATTACTACTCTCCTTTAAAGTGTTCGGTACTTATTTATAGACTTATTTATATTTATTTATAAATTAATCATATTAATTATTTATTTGAATATTATTAAAATATATTTATAGTAGTCTTTAAATTACAGAAATTGCATTGAAAATACATATTGTGAAACTTTTAGTCATGGAACAAATACTGTACCTATTATTTATAGAAAATACAATGTATTATAATTTGTTAAAATGTTTGTTTGGAAAAATAAAATAAAAAGCAGTTATAGAAGACCATGTGTGTTAATCTAAATTTAGCTAATTAGAACCAATATAAAAAAGAATTCGTTTCTGTAAATTAGTGAAAAATTATTAAATCGACACCTTAAAATTAGAAGTGCAATAAATTTAAATGTCTTTGAAACTTACGTGGTCATTTTTTTCAATTTAAACAAATTAGTTAGTTTATTTATCTTTATTTTAACACCACAAGAGTAGGACCAATATTATCTTATAATTATTAGAATAATTATAGAAATAATAATTATTATTTTATTATCTTATATTTTTTGTTACTTATTCTTAATAGAAAATTAACTTTCAATACAATTACGAATTTTAATACTGAACAGTTGTTAACATTCTCTGTTCAGCTGGTAAATGCTGATGTAATAGAAAAAACATTTTGAAAACAGGAATTTGAGGTGTCTTATCGAGACAGTTAGTATATATAATATAAAAATATACATATCAACATTGTTTCATTCGTTAATACTTACAATAACATTAACTTAATGCTCATACAGAATAACCATGTAAATATAAATTGTAACATATTCTAATATCGAGAATGAGTGTATTTATTTTATTATTTTGTATTTACTGGAAAAATTTTGTTCAACCTATTGTATTTCTATTGACTTTTTCGCAGTCAAGGTCTATCGATTTTGCCTTATCGCACATGAAAAATTTTAAATTCTCTGTTTTTCAATACCCAACCCCAGACTACAATGTTTTTAATGTTACAGAAATTTTTAAAAATAAAAACCTAAATAGTATTTCTTATTACTTTAATTCAAATTTTTTTAAGTTTTACCTTTTTCTAATAATACAGAAAATTTTGGTTACCCAAGTGCGAAAACCAACACGGCCAAAGACTGGCAAATACTGGCCAAATATTGTCTTGACAGACAATATTGAGCCAACTCTTGTAGTAATAATTGCGGTTAGACGTCGGCAACCAGATCTCGGCAGACATTAATAGTCCAATATCTGCCAACATTACTCCCCAGTATTGGCATAATGCAAAAAATAATTATATTTTTCAGTTAATTAACCAAATAATTTATAATATTCATTCGGCTTATTTCCTTAACCTTAAACACAATCTTATAAACAATTGAAAAATTGTTACTGCTCGTGGGGATCGATACCTCAACTTATTAAAAAACTACATTTATTTAATATTTACAAGAAAAAATTAAAAATTTTGTTTACTGATAATTGCAATTAAACAAAGAAAATGTTTTTTTAATATATTATTTTGACATTATCAAAGTAGGGAATATTAGCTTTGAAATAAGACCTCAGCCAACTTTCAATCTTTATTAGAAATTAGAATAAAAACTTTTTGTAAATGTCTTTATTTGTCGTATGATGAGCAAATCTTACTTATCAAAATTCTTTTGATAAAAGTCAAAAGAAATTTTTTTTCTCAAAATTCTTAAAAATCCTTCTGTTAGTTTTTAAATATTTATATAATAAATATACTTAGTAATTTTTACCAAAAATCGTTAAATACTCTTCGAGTTATCTTGTTCACAAAAAAGCGATCCGGACATTTGTTCAGGATTTCATATAATACATTCCTATATAGAGGAAAATTTGAAGCAGATTTGAAAATCATTTTTGAAGTAATTAAATGGGGAACAGTTGAGAAGCAAAAATGACCACTGAGTGAAGAATCACACACATAATATATAATTCGAAAAATTACGATTCTTTTTATTGATCATTAAAAGGTATATAGTAGCGAATGCAGAATTTACCTTCAAAGTTTATATCTATACTTTTAAGCATAACAAAAAAAATATATATATATACTTCATGTACAGAGATATAATGTGATCATAAGGTAAACACAATTTCTAATTTTATTTCCGGCGTAAATGTCATGAAATGATTCAATGTAATTTCCAAACGATTGCTTTTTTAGTGGAAATCAGCTGAGGCTTTAGATTATTTCTGCGCAATACATTGCGCAAATTTATCCTGTCCATTTTCAAGATCAAGCCGTTATAAACGAATTCGGAACATTTTCCTCCTTCGATTCACACTGATTTCGGATTCTTTCAAAATAACATTCGAGCGAGTTCTAATACAAAAAGAAGATAAACAAATTAAAATATTTAATTGTTTCTTTTTTTTTTAATTAAAAGATAATATTTTCAATTAATTAAAATGTCATCCCGAATGCAAGGTTTAACTCTCCAAGGACTGCGAAAGCATCCATCTGTAAGTAATTTTTCGTTTGTCTCAAAAAAAAATCCTTTAAATTTATATTCTACTTTATTAATATCTGCAATTTTTGTAAAAGAAATTTTGAATTAAAAAAATTTATATTGAACTCGATACATGGAAATTATTTGGTTGCAAAAAAGTTTTAATGGTCCAGAAGTTTCGAACGTTCAAATGAACGAAATATTTTTCAATAAAAAAAATCTTCTTAAATTACTGATTGTAATAAAAATTACAAACCTAAATTAAACATTTTAGAAACTTTATAATTATTTTTTTTACACAATACATAAAATTTTGCTTTCAAAAAGAAATAAATAAATTTCGTTCATCTGAACATTCAGAACTTTAGGAACATCAATTTTAAAAGATTACATTTTATGAAAAATCGAAACTGCTATAATTCTAGACAAATTAAAATTATAATGTCTTCATCTTTCGCGTGTTCTTGAATTTCTGAACATATAAATAAAGAATTAAAAAATATATATAAATACCCCCTCTTTTATTTCTGTAATTTATTTTTATTTTAAATATAGTTTTAATTCAATTTCAAATTTTCACCAAACAATTAGTGATCATAAACTGTAGTATTAATAATACAAATATTTACATGTACTTTTAAAAAAGTACCGCTTAAAATTTTAGATTTGTTTCCCCTAAATTTCTCAAACAAGAACAAATAAAACTCGTTAAATTATTTAATTTGTAAAAAAGATAACAAACTTCAAAGGAAATGATACCTAAGTCAATAATTCATTATATATTATTTGGACTTTTTAAAATTATGTAACATTTTTTTGACGTCATTGACAAAAAAACATCACAATAAAGGAAACGTTTTATTTGAAAAATTTCACAAAATTTTAACTTATCAATCCTTTTTTTATCGTTAAAAGATAACATCTAATTAAATATCAATCAGACAATTTAATAAGAATTAAATGGCTCAACTTAAGAAGGCATCTATAAATATACAAAATTTTTACACACATATGTGTAATATATGTACACACTAAGAAAAAATTTAATTAAGGGGAGGGACCGATAAAATTTCAACTCATCTAAATTTTTGTTGTTTATGGGTGGTCAATGTTTTTTCTAACAAATTTTAGAATTTAAAATTATAATATGCTTCAAAAATTAAAAAAATTTAATTAGTTAACTTTTTTTTAAATAAACATCAAAAAATAAAAATTTGAACTACTCTCGTAATTTTTATTGCCGATTTTTTATACACTTATTTCATGATTCTAAACAATCAATCGTATGAATTTTCAAAACATCAAATTACTTTTATTAATTTTCTGTAGATTAATATGATTTCATCTAGTGAAGAAGTGTGAAAAAAATTTCAATTAATAAATAAATAAAATTTTCAAAATGAACAAAAAAACTATATGTTTCAATTTTAACAATAATACAATAAATTTAGATCCTAAATAATGCTAGAAAAAAAATTGGCGCCTCTTAACAACGTAATTGTCGGAGGGTTGAAATTTTAACGGTCCCTCCCCTTAAAACAACTAACAATAATAAGGTTCCCGTAATAAAGTATAGAGTATTTGATTCTAATATTACATTTTTACTGTATGCATTTTTTATTTATATTTATTTTTTTAATATATTATATTTATTTTATATTTTAATAATAAACTATAGTAAAGTTTTTAACGTCCGAGCGGTTTTAATAATAAGACAGAAAAACAAAGACATTTAGACAAAGATTCGTTTAATGTTACTCCAACGTTTCGAAATCAGCAGATTTCCTCTTCAGGGAGTCAATTTAGCAACAGTCAGAACATAAATTTGTTATAAATAAATTAAAATTCGTCAGAAAATAAAAATAGTACACCCATACATTAGAGCCATACACACAGAATTAAAAACTAATTAATATTAATCCATTTAGTAAAAATAGTAAATAAAAGAAAACACATATAATAAATAGTAGAACAATCAAAAACAACAAATAAATAAGAACAAATAAAACAAAACTAATAAATAAAAAAATTAAATTTCAATCGAGACTGACCTTCACCGATGAAGGTACAATTTAAAAACGAATCTTTGTCTGAACGTCTTCGTTTTTCTGCCTTTAAATTAATAATAAACTAATTATTATTTCATTACAGTTAATTCCCCTATTCGTTTGTTTGGGTATTGGAAGTTCGGTCGCTGCTTTTTGTACACTAAGAGCCGCTTTAACAAATCCGGATATAACGTGGAGCAATAAAAACAATCCAGAACCGTGGAATGAATACAGTGATAAAGGGTATAAGAAGGTATATACATATAGGCATAATCATCTTATCATTCTATTATTTTTTGTTGATTTTTATCATGAACATTTTTCATGAATTTCCTGTTTCAGTTAGTTACCGTGGACGACAAGGCTCCGTTTAACACAAGAAATTCGTCAATTTTTGATATAGCGAAAAGATAAGCATACACATAAAAATATATAAGCCAGAGATGAAATATCTCGGATAAAGTTAAGTTATCTTTATTTCATTATTTTTAAATTAGTGGTCGTTAATAAACTACGTAACACTGCTTTATACCTTTCTTCCCCTTCCGAAAGAATTGATAACACATTTGTTTGTAAAATTTTTATTCGTTAATTACTACTCTCCTTTGAAGTATTCGGTACTTATTTATTGACGATCCCTTAATCATATTAATTATTTATCTGAATATTATAAAAATATATTTATAGTAGTTTTTAAATTACAAAAATTTGTGATCAATTGAAATAAGTTTCAAAAGTCATAATTTCAATTAAAATTTTTCTTACCGGAGAGCATTGCAGAGCTTATTTTACTTAAATGTAAGTTTATGCATTGCAATTTCCTATTGTGAAACTTTTAGTCATGGAACAAGTGCTGTATTATTTATAGAAAATAAAATGAATTATTATTTGCTTAAATGTTTGTTCGTGAAAATAAAATTAAAAGCAGTTACAGAAGACCATGTGTGTAAATTTAAATTTAGCTAAGTAGGGGAGCGTGGTCCTAAGTTGGCCGTGGGCCTAAGTTGGCCACCCTGCATTTCTCAGAGATGGTAACTGGACGAATCTATAATTTTTTGGTATGATATATTGATAGACCATGATATACTTTATGGACCTAATTATAATCTAAGATTCGTCTACGCATTGTGAGGACAATAATATTGTTTACGACCAAAAAAATTTAATTTTTCTTGTTTTTTCGAGAGCAGCTACAAGAGATAAATAATTAGAAATTTCTAAATGAGTGTGTGCGCTAGTTCCTTTATTTATTGTTGTAATAAGAGGTTCTGTTGATATTTTAATTACATTTTTTTTATTAACGTAATAATTTGAAACTTGTGAAAATCTATAGTGGTCCTAAGTTGGCCACCTATTGTTTTTGTTTGTTTTTATTTATGTTTTACTTCTTTTTTGTGTTTTTCATCACAATAAAGACCGTAAAAGTATAACATAGGAATTAAACAAAGACAAAAACAAAAAACAAAAATGCCTGTCTCCACAGCCATCCACCACTGCAAATAAATGAAATAAAATAATGCTTCATTTTCTAAACAAAAATAGTTAAATAATGCGTTTTTATTCTCCTAAATGTATCAAATTTGTAAAATTTCTGCGTAATTGAAAAGAATATGCATTTCTTCCTTAAACACAAGCGAAAAAAAGTGGTGGCCAATTTAGGACTGCTATTTCTGAAATGTCCAAAATGCAGCTTTTCACTATTTATTGTATTAAGACTACAAAAGCCATTCTATAACGTTCTAAATACCACAAAATTATAGCAAAACGATCTCTGAACACTTATATATACTTGCCGAAGTGATTAAATTTCATTTTGTTACTATTTTCGACCAATTTGCTTAGGCGGCCAACTTAGGACCACTCTCCCCTAGTAGATACCAATATAAAATAAAGAGAATTCGTTTTCTGTAAATTATTTAAAAACTACCAAATTGATAGTTTGTAAATAGTACATAATTAATAAAAATTAATAAAAATTACGTAATTAAAAGAGTATGTTTATTATTAATGAAACAACAGACCAGTGCGTCCATTGCAAGAATTGTAAAAACTAAGGACCAAAAATTCCAAAATAAATACTAGAATCGAAAGTGAAAAACCTATTATACCTATTCCAAAGAGCAAAAAAAGAAGTTTCTTTCCACCAATTACATCAATTTCGTTAAAAGAATTATCGAGACTGGGATTTTTGAACGTATTCAGGTCTTCCTTCTCCCACTTCCACACCAAACCGGCTTGTGTAGCCACTTGCAAAATGTGTTAAAATTTTGTACAATACAATGAATTTGTTTCTAGATAAACGCCACTTGCAGTTTCATACAAAGGATCTTTCACCACTTTAAGTTGTGCTTTTCCATTCTTATCTTTGGTATTTTCAATCATTACTAGCGCCTCATTGACCTGCATTGTGCAACTAATATTCTTATGTTTAGCAATATTTTGTAAGCAAATCTCAACAAAATTTAAATATCCCAGTTGCTTGTCTACCAAATCTCTTTTGGCTCCTTCCTCAAACAATAATCTTTGAGTAGCCAATCCTATAAGACCAATAGGTTGTAAATAAGATTCAAGCACATCCTTTACTGTATCAAATCTTAATTCCTTCTCCTCGGCAAATTCTATTCCCGTCAACGCTCCAAAAATATTTGAAAAATATGCAGTGCTTATAATAAGAAGATAGCAGAAAATCAACCTCTCTCTTGTCATAATCGGCTCCTGGGGAGTAGACATTTGTATCACTATCTGAATAATGTACATAATTTTCCAATAGCGGCGATCGAATTTCAAAAGTCTAATAAGCAACCAAACTGATATCACAGCAAAGATACTCATTGCACCAGTCATATAAAGCAATAACTTTCCTTCAATTCCACTATCATTTTCCATTATAACAGGAACAAGGACAACTAAATCCTGCCTACCAAAATTGACACTACTATATAGGCACACTGGTATCGTTATTAAATTTACGGCCATAAATTGAATCTCATTGTTTGCCATTTTGTACATATAACCAGATGCAGCACTTCTGTTAAAACAATTGAATGTTCCATAAGCCTTTTCCGTTGATGGTACGAATACGAGTTTAAAATTCATCACACGCGACAGAAAATTGGCAAATGAAACAGATCTTCCTTTCATTACCACAGGATAACCTGTTGAATTTAGTTCTATTAAAGTCTGCAACGGCTGATTGTATGTACCATATTTTATTTCATATCCATTTAAATCGTGCAATTTGCCAGGAAACCATTCAATCCGATGAGAACAGATTTTTTCTGTATACTTTTCAAAGTATGGATTCAATTGATGAATTGTATCAAAAACTTGCTCATTATTCAGAAATAATAATTAACCTTTTCATTAACTGTCGCTACATGTAAATTGTAATGTCAAGAAATCTATTATTCCACATTGTTTACAAGAGTTTTTCAAATCTCAAGTTTCTTTGTTTAGAATAAAGGAGAAACAAACATTTTGGATTTGCTTTATTGTACGATGCTGAAGTTATCATATCGATTGGAGCAGTAAATTTTTCAGCATAATTTAAATCTTCTACATAGATAGCCATGACGAACAAAGTTGTTAATTCAGGATTTTTCATGAGTTGAAAGGTTTTTGAATTTTTCCATATCTTTTTGGTAGCATTATGAAAATTCACTAACAGAACAGGTGAATTTTCTATTAGATTCAATACACGGAGAGAAGTTTCTGTTAATTTTTGTAAGGAAATTATGGAAAAAATTACTGTGCTTCCGTATAAAATAGGTTCGTTTTGTTGGCAAAGTAGAATGTACCATTAACCAACACAGTTTATACCTAAAAAAACGAAAATATTTGCTGTCTCTTTAACTACAAAAATTACTGTGCTACCTCAGCAAAGAAAATACACAGAAAAATAATTTGACATAAGCTATTTGTGTATATGACATTCTTTTCTTACAATTCATGTAATGAATTAACATAAATTAAATAATGTTTGTTAATTAATTACTGTTAATATTTATTTGTTTTACATGTGACGCGATTATTATATTCCATATATATCATGATATTATCAAATCAATATTTGAGGTTAAGTTGAAATTCCATAGTAAACGCATTGCATACAAGGCACACAAGTTTGATTTCAAAATTTCTAGGTTAAGTGAAATCATGGACAGTAAAAATTATTTCATTTCCAATATTTCTTTATACCACTAATTGAAATATAAAATCGAAAACGTCGCAAAAATTTACCTTGCCAACAGGTGAGGAAAGTACGACAGTAGCAATCGTAGCAATATTAAATGGATGTTCGTGATACTTCGGGTATCATCGGCCTTCTTCAACTTGACTTCATGCAGGCAGCACAGTAAAAATTTGTGGGGAGCACAGTCTATTTTATTAACCTGCGCATGACTATTTCATGGTACGGTTAATATATTTTGCTTAGGACCAAATTAGAAAGTCCTGGTTCAGCAATTTTTACAGTGCTTTCAAAGAAATATTCCGAGGCCATTTTGTAAATAAAACTGTTTTCCATATGAAATAAAATTGTGCGCAAGTCAATATTTCTATTCTTCCGGCACAAATAGTTCAGTAAAATCATTTTGCACATACTTTCAGGTGACAAGCACAGTAATTTTTATTGGAAATTTTTCTCCGTGTAGTATTCTTTCGTAACGAATTTTTTTGTTATTTTCAGTAAGGATCATTACTTGATGTACATTTAATTTTGTTTTAAAATATTTTCCTAATGTCCGGTTCCACTAACCTCGATTGAGACATTAACGGACCGTCAAATTTTTACTTGCGTTTCACCAACTTTTAACGGAATGTTATCTCGATTTAACCGACGTTAACTCTAAACGGACACAAGAGGTCGGTTAACGTACCCTAACCTAAAAAGTTAAAAATTTTAAATTCTGATAAAATTGTAAATTTTAATTCAATTGTTGAAAAATTTGAATTATTTAAATAATTTTATTAAAGAATAATAAAAAGTGAATTGAGATTTCATGAAATTTCCATAAAAATAATACAATTTGTTAGGCGGTATTAATTTCCCACAATTAAAATGTATATAGGAAAACTGTATACAAGCAAATTTAAAAAATAAATCATTAAATTAAAGTTAAAAACTGTACAAATTTAAATTGCATAGTGTAAAACTGATCACAGGAAGACTACACACAAGCTAATTTTTAATAAATTTTATAGAAATAAGCTAGTGTATATTTTTCCAGTAGTCAGTTTAACTTTGTATAGAGTTGAAAATAATTTTAATTCTTTATTAAAATTTCTAATTTCTAATAGTGTGGTGTTTTCTCGTGGTCAGTTTAACGAAATACAGTTTAAATTTGTACAGTTTTTTAATTTAATTTAATGATTTTATTTTTTAAATTTTCATGTGTGCAGTTTTTTTATGTGCACTTTTCCTGTATCCAGCAAAATAGGGATGGCAAAATGGACTTCGACTTTAGTCGAAAGTCGACTTTGATACAATAAAGGATGTATATGAATTTTATTTGCAACCTATTGGGTTTTTTGGGTTAAGCATGCAAGGATTAGCATTTGAGGAAGAAACCAAGAGAAATTTTGTATAGGAACACCTCGAATATACAGATTTTATTGATATTTGCATGCAGAACATTGTTAAATATAAGAATATTAGTTTTACTATGCAGGACAATGAGGCTGCAGTATTGATTAATAAATATAAAAGACATGGATAGAAAAGCACAAGTTAAACTGGTGAAAGAGACTTTGTTGCAAACTTCAATGAACGTTTATCTAGAGAGTAATTCACTTTATTCTAGAAAATTTCAACACATTTTGCATGTGGCTACACAAGCCGGTTTGTTGGAAAAGTAGGAGAAAGAAGATCTGAATGCGATCAAAAATCCTAGCCTCGATAAAGTTTTTGACGAAATTGATGTTATTGGCGGACAGAAGATTCTTCTCTTGTTGTTTGGAATAGGTGTCGTCGGTTTTTCACTTTCGGTTCTAGTATTTATTCTGAAACTTTTGAATTCACGCTGTATACACACTTAATTCACTTTATCGCTAGGGGTGACATTTACACAAATAGATCTACGAAAATCTGCATTAACGACAAATTAACTGACCTAAGTTTTTGTTTTGTAAAGTAGAGGTACTGAACGGTTGCCTTAATATTTTTTGACTAATTTACAGGAAATTAATTCTCCTACTTTACATTGATATTAAT